TTAGTGGTATCAAACCAGACCAAGAAGAAGAATTTTATATGCATACAGATTTCCTTGACCCTAGAGTGGAGGCTAAGGTCTGAAGGGACCCCTGGGGTGAATGGGAACCTAAGAGGACCGTGCAGGGAATGGGCTTCTGTCCCAGAAGCGGCAGTGACCCACCTGATGCAGCTCTGAGTAAGCTGGTGTGGCCTGTATATTCCTGGTAACTCTTCCTATCTTACACAGAAGCCACTGAGGTTTTGTGTGTGTGTGGTTGGTTTTTTGTTTGTTTGTTTGTTTGTTTTTGAGACAGAGTCTCGCTCTGTCGCCCAGGCTGGAGTGCAGTGGCGTAATCTCAGCTCACTGCAACCTCTGCCTCCCGGGTTCAAGTGATTTTCCTGCCTCAGCCTCCCATGTAGCTGGGACTACAGGTGCCCGCCACCACGCCCAGCTAATTTTTTATATTTTTAGTGGAGACAGAGTTTCACCGTGTTAGCCAGGATGGTGTCCATCTCCGGACCTCAGGTGATCCACCCGCCTCGGCCTCCCGAAGTGCTGGGATTAAAGGCATGAGCTACCGTGCTCGGCTACCACTGAGATTTTTTAAGATGGCATTTGTATTGCTATAGAAAGAAAACAAAATAAGAGTTCCTTCCAGGTAACGTGAAAACCCAAAGAGATGATCTCTAGGCAGCTTCTCAATCTAATGTGGCAGCAGAGAAGAGGAAGAAACTTACACTATTACATCGAATTTCTCTCTCCGTCTGGACCCTTGCAAAACCATATCACTAATTTGAATGCTGCACCAGTGAGGTCAGGATCTAAACTAATATATTGCAGTCCTTGTTAGAATTCATTATATGACGTGCCATAAGAAAAAAAAAAAAAGTCCTGTCTGCATTTAGGCTTCTGTTTCTTAAGCTTCAAACATGTAAAAAGGTTTCTGGATCCTGAATTCAGGGACCTGGGTTTTCACACTGGCGCCACCAGGCCAGTGGGTGTGAACTTGAGCAATTATCTTAAATACTTTCGTCTTCATTTTCCTCTCCTATTGAACCAGGCAATGGGATGAGATAATCTCTAAATTAGTTCTCACTCAAAAAGGGTAACAAAATATGGTCAGCAAAATAAAGCCGTAAGTTCATTCCCATAAAGTGGGCCCCTTAGAGGCTGAGGCCTCCAGGCCTTCTTGCCTGGGCAGTGCCATCCTAAATCACATCAGGCAAATCCACATGCACCCAGGTGGTACATGAGATAGACATCATTTTTTTGCTATAAAATTTTTGAAGGGCTTTCTAATTTGTTCTGAAATTCTCTAGCTATAAGTTGGCCGCTCTGCCTTCTCTGCCACCAACATGTAATCAAGACTAGGGGTTGAGGTCTCCATGTTGGCGCTTGCTAACGTTACGGGAGCTGATACCTGAGGGAGCGGCTGGTCTGAATGAGTCTCTCTAAAACAGGGACAGTGGTGGTACCACCGTCACATCACTGGAAGGCTGAATGCAGCAGCCTCTGTGGCTTAGAACTGTGTCTGGCACACAATACGTATTCAAAAGAGGACAGGTATGATTCAAATTTAGGCTTGAAATCCTTTTGGAAATGAGAAAACTTTAACCAAAAAGTGGCTCCGAAATTTAAAAATTCATGAAGTTGCCATAATGGTGCATTTTTTTTTTTTTTTTGGCCATTTAATTAAACATTTATAAATTTTGATTTTTTTTTCTGGATTTCGTTTTGTTATTAGACCCAGTAAAATTTCTTTTCTGGTATATTTATGGGCCCTGGAAACACTCTGGGCACTGTTCCTAAGTCACTAATGGGTAAAATGGCCTCGCCCCCAAATGTTGCACTTTGTGAAAAAGTCAGAAAGAAAAATCACATCTGAGTAACATCAAAAGTCAGCGCTTCAGATCTAACATGTGGGTCCTGTTCAGTAGAGGCATGACACAGCTACAGAAGTCTCCTCCACACTGTCCTAGAAACGTGACGTGAAATGCGGCAGGTTTCTTGGGGTTGGAATTCTTGTACTAGGCAAATGCAGTGCATCTCCCAAGGGTGCCTGGGATCTGTCGCTGCAGCCAAGCTTTGCAGGCACAGAAACATGGCCAGCCACCCACTGAATTTCCTAAATCAATGACCAGCACTGGAGACCCTTCCATGGGTGCAAGGCAGCTCCGCCTGCTGCCTGTGTCCTTCGGGGGTCTGATGAGGCAGCCCCAGCCTGGCATGGTCAGACCTTGTCATTGGGTGCACATCTCCCACGGGGATGGGTGGACCCACCGCTTTCAGATGCATTGCGGTTGGCAGTCACAGCGTCCCAGCGCATTAAAATACATCGACTCCTCTGCTTTCAGGTAGATTTAGAATTTTTTTCATAACCTAGCCACTTTCCACTTTTCATTTTGAAAAATTTCTCCTTGTGTTTTTTCAAAAACTTTGGTTTTTGTTTGTTTTTTCCTGTAAGCCATATAACTAGGGAAGGCATTAGTAAGAATTTGATACACTGGGTCTCGTGGAACTCCACCACCACCACCAAAATAATAATAGTAATAATAACAATAACAATAGGTTAGCTTAAAGAAGCAGAAGCTACCCCCTTACACTACATCTGCGTTTAAATTCATTTGAGCTTATTGGCAATTTCTGTGTTCTCCTGTTCATTGCATATTCTTTTCTTTAAAGGCAACTTTTAGAGAAGGTTTGCTTTTTTTTTGGCTATCAAAGTATTAATTATGAAAAGTTGGCAATACAGAAAGGGTAAATCAGGTATTACCTATTACTGTACATTATGGCTGTATTATCACACATATCACAAGCCACTGACATTCAGTTGGATGCGAAATGCCTTTTTTAGAGTATGATTGACACATGGTATATTTTCATCAACTTCTGTGTGTAAATTATGCAGGATCACTGATAAAATTCGTTATCATGAATAGCCAAATATTCTGGATTCACATTCATAAGTAAAAGCCAAGCTTATATATATATACACACACACACAAAGTTCTTTTCTGTTTGCCTTTTCAAAAAGTAACACAATGGAATCAATTTGCCAACTCTCTAGACCCCTATAAAGTTAATGAAAGGCAGTATATTCATTTGGTACTTTCGTGATATACATATACTTTCCATTAAAGCAATTACTGACAAAAACCCAGACTGCTATTGAAATCTTTCAGTGTACTTCCATATACTGAAATGTCAAACATTTGATACTTTGTTTGATTTTGTATTTGTTTTTGTTCACCATGGCTTAAAAGTCATCTTCCAATTATTTAAAATAAAGAGTAAACATTTGAAATAAGTTCCTAGATACTACATAAATTTATGGCCCTTTGAATTTGTTCCTGGTACTACCTTATTTTCACTTACCTTCGAAGTGGTCGTATGATATTTCTAGTTCATTCATTTGAAAGAACTAGGAGAAATATGCAGAACCACGTCCCACACACCTCTCGGACACTGCTCGCCAGGCATAGCCCAGTGTTTCAAAAGTGAACCAGGGGTCTGGGCACGGTGGCTCACACCTGTAATCCCAGCACTTTGGAAGGCTGAGGTGGGCCAATTACCTGAGGTCAGGAGTTCAAGACCAGCCTGGCTAACATGGTGAAACCCCGTCTCTACTAAAAATACAAAAATTAGCCGGGTGTGGTGGCGGGTACCTGTAATCCCAGCTACTCGGGAGGCTGAGGCAGGAGAATCCCTTGAACCTGAGAGGTGGAGGTTACAGTGAGCCGAAATTGTGCCACTGCACTCCAGCCTGGGCGACAGAGTGAGACTCTGTCTCAAAAAGTAAAGTGAACCAGGGTGCTCAGGGAGCCTCGGAGAGCAAGACAGGAGTTTGGAGCTTCAAGTCTAAAACTGCGTTTCAAGTTTTCCCATCTGTAGAATGGACTACATGATACCTCCCTGGCTAGGGGATGTGAGGATTAAATGAGATAGCCTGAATGGCGCGCTGGAGCAGTGGCTGATGGCGAAGCTCCAGAGCTGGCTTCCTGATTCAGCCTGGCCTCCCCTTTGGGATCAGATTAACCTCCCCACGCTCAGCCTCCTTGTGTATCAAACCAGGAATATGATATTGCTCTGTTGGGGATTATTGTGCAGATTGAATAAAGTAATTCATAGTAGGGCATAGCACCGTGCTGGGCACAGCAGTGCTCCTTAAATATTAGCTGCTGTTATTAAAGCATGTGCTCTAGACAGGTAGGCCCCTTGACCTTGTCCCAAAGACCTTATGAGAGGAAACAAATGGGATTCTGTCCAAGTGGGGGCCAAATGTTTACCATTGCCAAGTTACTTTAAAAAAAAAAAAAAAACAAAACTTGGCAGATTTGGCCCTCACGATACAGTACAATAAGGGCTTTTTCTCTTTTCCTTCCATGCTACCTATTATTAATTCCAAATACTGCATCACTGAATGGGCTTCAACACATGTATTCCTCATTGAAACATAACCTTGTTAACCATGTTACCCTGCTTCCTTGAGGGAGAGGTGATCTTTTTGCAATTAAAGGTTTTATCAAAATGCAGTTCTGCTTAACACGAAGCACCTATGCTGTTGTGTGACCTACGAAGCTCTTAGCATCTAGAAGCTTCCCCTGGGTCATCTATAAGATGGGAATAATACTATGAGTTCTGCCTACTGCACAGGATTCTTTAGGATACACTGAGATAATACATATCAATGTGCTTTTTAAGTAGTCTGTCAGGTAATAGAAAGATAATTAGATAATTTTAAAAATAGAAAAATCTATTATTGTTTTCCATGCACTATATTAAAATCTTAGGGATTTTAAATAAAATTAATTGATTTCTTGAAAGTAGATATCATCATGTCTTTCGGGATTGGTGAGAATAAATTAAAGAGAAAAAAATGGAAACATTTAAATCAGCCCCCACTGTGAATCCATACTTTCAGAAATTTTACCTTTTTCCATTGGCATATCTTCATGTTTTCCCTACCTACAACTAGATACCCTTTGTAAATGTTGAAAACAAAAGAAGTAACCTTGGCAAATAATTGAGAACTCAGTTTTATTTGAATATACTTTTCTCTTACAAGACCAAATACAGTTTTTCTTCTAAAACTCTGTTATTCCAGTTTCTTTCAATGAAATGCTCACAGAACCAGAAGGTTTGGGAAGAGGCTCGAGCGCCTAAGAGTTGCTGAGTCCGTATTCCCTTTTTCCCCTGTGGCTTTTTATATACGCTCCGCGCCTGCGATTTCTGGATTTGATTTCAGGGAGGTGAAATCTTACACCCCTGAGTCTCAGTGCCAGTTTCCCAGGACGAGTCAAAAACTGCAGCTGCTTGGAGGTGAGAATCTTCCAAGGCTCCAGAGGCCAGCTCGCTGTCCTGTTCATTTGCTGACATGCTGCCGGGAGCAGCTTCAGAGAAACCCGTTCTATTCTTCGGGTGATTCAGCCAGTCTCAAAATAAATAGGTAGCCGAGTGCAGGGAGAAAGAACTGGAAACCACTGAAATTTGAGTCTTGAGGGCCAGTCTGTTCTCGGGAGCTGCTCTGTTGAACTCTAAAAGGAATCTTGAGCCCTGGGCGAGGGAGCGGCCTGGTCTGGTGGAAAGCCTGCGGGCCTGCCAGTGGAGTCTCTGTCTGGCCCTGCCTCGCTCAGTGAATTTCAGCAGCTCGTGTGTCCTCTTAGACCCTCAGGTTCCTCATCTACAGAAGGAGAAAGAAAAGGAGATTGAATGACTTTTAAGGTCTTTATCAGCTTCTAAAAGTTTGATTTGATGTTTGTAGGAGCAATTGTTCTTTCAAAGCACCATCTTCTAACCTCAGGAAAGAGAGCCCAGGGACCACTGGCGTGTCCTGCCAAACTGGGAAGACAAAGATGGTGACTGAGAAGGTGGGGGTGGGGCAGGGGGAGGAGGGGGAAGAAGGGAGAATGGATCAACTCACATCCCAGGCCGGGGAAAGAGATGAATGAAGGTCCACGCCAGAGTGACATGCTGTAAGTAGGGGAAATCTTCCTAACTAGAGTTCCCATGACTTTGGCAACATTTGAAAAAAAAAGACATCCTTAAACCCACAAAGTACTCAATTGTCCAAGCCCCAGCATGGCCAACTTCCCAAAGCTGGCCGGTCAGAGACCTTGGTGTTAATTCCTCAGCCAACTAAAAAAAGATGGTGTGAGTTCTGTTGACTTAATTGTTGGAGTGTTTCTGAGTGGGGCCGCCTCCCTCCTCTGCCTCCTCGCAGTATTATGGGCTGTTCTGCATTACCTGCCCTACCTATCTTCACAATCTAGCCGCAAACAGCTTCGGTTGACCACACCACTTCCCTATTGAAAGTTAATACTGTTTGACTCATTCTGTGTTACTAACCTGAAGCCAAAGAAAACAAGGCAGAGAATAACTGGCTTGTATGGAGTTTGGAAAGCTCTTGGAGGCCCCGCTTTCAAAATCCTATACAGTAGCTTTACTATATCTCTCCGCGGCAGCTGCTGAGAAAATGAAGGAAGCAGAAGTGGTTAAAAAAGAAGTGGGGGGTGGGGAAGAGACTGGGAAGGGAGTGGTGCGGGGTCCCCCTCTGGCTGGGAAAAGACCGGGTAATCTGCGGCAGTTTATGAGGGCTGTCTCTCTGAGCTGAGGTCTTGCTTTGACACACCAGAGTGTTCGCACAGAAGAGGGACTGTTGACAGAGTTGAAAGGAGAGGAAAGTTCAAAACAGTCGTTGAAAAGGCAGCTCTCCTGTTGCCTGCGTAACACAGAGGAGCTGGGAGGCTGGTCTCACCAGGTCAGGGAGCCATAGGCAAAGACTCAAGCTAGACAGGTCAGGGGGAAGGTGTGTCCCTTTCGAATCTGGAAAGGATTGAGGAGGGGGAATGTTGCGGACAGAAGGCTGTCCTGGGCATCCATCCTTGCCTCCATCCCTGCCCGCATCCCTGGCAAGGATGGAAACTTCCCTTCCTTCCTTTCCTAACTGGCTCAGATGTGGTCACCAGGGTGAATAGGAGGCACTAGTGTCTTGGAATAAATAGAACTTTCCCTCCCAATGTTACCTGGCAGACAGTGGACCAGCATCTTCATCACCATGCTGCGGCTCTTTGGGAGTCTAGGCAGTCACTCACCCATTCAGGTAACTGGTAGAAGAGGCCTCCCTCCTCACAGATGCCCCTTCTCAGCAGGTGCTGCTTCTGGCACGTGGACAACAGTGCACAGAAGTGAGCCTGATGCCTGAATGAGGATGTCATGCCACAAACAACCAAAAACCTTGTGTGTGAGGGAGGCCCATGTTCTGTTCAAAACAACTAGCTGCGGTTGACTTTTGTACTAGTGAGTACTCAGGAGCTGTGAGTGGCCAGGGTGCCCTGGCAAGGGCTTTGCCAGGCCAGCCTAGAACTTCAGTTGGCATCTGTGACAGGAGAGAGGGTCAGAGTCAGATGCTGTTCCCCTGCTGTTGGGAAAGTCCCTGAGGCCCAGCGGGCAGGGCTTAGAAACAGAAGGGAATTTCCTTCCCTCTTTTTAGAAGTACAGAGGAGAGATCATCCTCCACACTGCTGGGTAAGCATTCCAGAATAAATCTAGTCAAGGAAAGGGGCTCACTCATTCATTCGTTGACTCACTCATTCATTCATTTGTCCAGCATTTATGGAGGCATCACCCAACCTTGGAAGGGCCCTGCATTTACCTCTGTCTTGTCCAAACATGCTCAGTGTCTGTCAATTATGCGTGAGATCTGCTGCTGCAGGAGGCGAACTGAGATTCCTGCAGGGAGGTTAGGAGGCCAGTGTGGAGAGCCGCAGTGCTGGTCACGTGCTTACGCAGGCAGTGTGTGTGCACCTCCAAGATCTTCTCCTGGCCCCCAGGTCTTGCCTGTCCACCCCAGGGATAGCCCTGCTGATGCCTGAACTCCAAAGCCAGGTTAGAAGTTCCAGGCAGCATTCTGTGAGTCAGTGCTCATCTCTCCATAGTGTGCCACCCACCGCCAACACTTTCTTTCCTTTCTGCAAGTCTCCTTCTCTTAGAGTCTGTCCCTGGGTAGGAGCTACTCTGATCAACAAATCCATGTCCCTGGTGGTTACCACCATCTGGTTACTCTTCAGTTACACTGTAACTGGAGGTTTCCTTGAGATAAGACCTTAACCTAGCGAGGGTTGCTAATAGTTGGGATTATAGGCTGGTAGAAGAAGAAAAACCTTGAACTTGGGAGCTGTCTGCACCCCTTTTAGGAAGCTGCCTCCACTTCTCGCACAGAGGGCTACCTCTGGTCAACAGCAAAAGCCAGCAGGCGGCTTCTCTGCCCTGAGCTCAAGTTACCTCCTTAGTCACGAGACAGAAATGGACGGTGAGCCCTGGCGACCGGAGATGCAGATTTAGATTTTGAGTGCTCTGCTTTTAGGAGAGGCCCAAGTCTCCAAGAGCTCATGTGAGTGGGTGAAAAACTCCACTGCTCATGGCAATGAGCCCTGGACTCAGGGAACAGAGTTTTGTCTGGGTTTTTGTCCCATGAGTCTTGGGCGCACGGTGCAGGGAGGATGGGGAGGGGCAGGCCCGTGTGCATCTCTGGCTTGAAGCTGTGTTGGTTGCTGATCTTGCCTTGGCCTTGGCCAGCCTTTTCTCTCCATTGGCTGTTGCTTGCTACACTTGTCTTGGCCCATGTCCTGAGGGCAATCACAGAACGGTGTGTGTGTGTGAGTGGATGTATGGATGTGTGATGGATGTATATGTATTATGTGTATATGTGTGCATGTCAGTATGTGTGTATGTTTGTATGTGTGTGTCCCCATGTCTGTATATCTGCCTGTGTATATATGCATGCGTGTCCCTGTGTGATATATGTGTATGTGTGTGTGTGTCTGTGTATATGTGTCTGTCCTGGTTTGTGTCTGTATGTGTATGTGTGTCTGTGCATGTATTAATATATGTGTGCGACGTATGTACGTGTGTGTGTATTTATATGTGTGTATCCCCATGTGTGTTTTATGTCTGTGTGTGGGTCCAAGTATCTGTGTGTGTGTCTGTATGTGTTTACATGCATGTCTGTGTTTATGTGTTTGTGTCCATGTGTGTCTGGATGTGTGTATATATGTGTGTGTCCATGTGTATCTATATTTTTGTTTTGTTTTGTTTTTTGAGACAGAGTCTCACTCTGTCACCCAGGCTGGAGTGCAGTGGCGCAATCTTGGCTCACTACAATATCTGCCTCCTCTGTTCTAGCAATTCTTCTGCCTCAGCCACCCAAGTAACTGAGATTACAGGTGCGCGCCACCATGCCCAGCTACTTTTTGCATTTTTTAGTAGAGACAGGGTCTCACCATATTGGCCAGGCTGGTCTCGAGCTCCTGACCTCATGATCTGCCTGCCTTGGCCCAAAGTGCTGGGATTACAATCGTGAGCCACCACGCCCGGCCGCATCTATATGTGTTTATGTGTATGTCTGTGTCTGTGTATGTTTGTGCGTGCATGTCTGTATGTGTGTATGTGTGTGCATGAGTGTGCCATGTGTATTTTTGTATGTCTCTGTGTGTGTGTGTGTGAGAGGGTACTCACTACAAAGAAACAGGAGAAGCTGGTACACTTTGCCTATGTCAGGATGCCACTCTCAGCTCAGCAAAAGAACCTTTGACCCATTGTTTTTGATTTTTTACTATGAAAATAAATGAGTTTTCCTGACTGAATTTGTTTTGTTTTGTTTTTTTGAGACGGAGTCTAACTCTGTTGCCCAGGCCAGAGCACAGTGGCACAATCTCGGCTCACTGCAAGCTCCACCTCCTGGGTTCACACCATTCCCCTGCCTCAGCCTCCTGAGTAGCTGGGACTACAGGTGCCTGCCACCACACCCAGCTAATTTTTCTGTATTTTTTTTTTAGTAGATACAGGGTTTCACGGTATTAGCCAGGATGGTCTCAATCTCCCGACCTCGTGATCTGCCCGCCTCGGCCTCCCAAAGTGCTGGGATTACAGGCGTGAGCCACCGCGCCCGGCCTTTTTTTTTGGAGATGGAATCTCCCTCTGTCACCCAGTCTGGAGTGCAGTGGAGTGATCTTGGCTTACTACAGCCTCTACTTCCTGGCTTCAAGAGATTCTCCTGCCTCAGTCTCCCAAGTAACTGGGACTACAGGTGCAGGCCAACATGTCTGGCTAATTTTTTTATATTTTTAGTGCAGATGGGGTTTCACGATGTTGGCCAGGCTGGTCTTGAACTCCTGACCTCAAGTGACCCGCTTGCGTCGGCCTCCCAAAGTGCTGGGATGAGCGACCACGCCCAGACTGATTTAACTTCTAATGAGACAATTCTCCATGAAACTATGCTCAGTTATGATATTATTTTTTTTTCTCAACAAGACGTTTTCTCTGTAGTCACATTTCAGCTGAAAACTTTAATTACAACTTCCTTCACCTGAAATGATTTCTACTTTCCTACAACCTAGTGGAGGGTGATTGGACGGCACCAATCATGAAGGACCTGAGTACTCATTCATTCATTCATTCAGCCAATAGTAGTGAGCCTACTAGGCTCCAGATGGTTTTGTAGGTGTTGGAGAAACATGGCTGTGCAGAAAAAATACAAAATCCCTGTCCTTATAGACCTTACAGTCCCGTGGGTGCAGATAGACCCTGGGTAACATTAACACGTGCTATGGAGAAAACCTAAGCCAAAGGGCTAGGGATTGGCTGGATGGGGCATAGTCTGCAACTTAAAAGGGGATCTCCAGGAACTCCTCAGGGAGGAGATGACATTTTAGCAAATACTTGAAGTGTGGGAGGGGTCAGGTCCACAGGAATCTCAGGGAAGAGCTTCCTGAACAGCATAAACAGTCAGTACAAAGGCCCCAGGGGAGTGACACGGGAGCAAGGGCAAGGGGGCCACTGCTGCCAAAGCGAAGAGGGGAGCTCAACCCATCTGCCTTCTAGTTTCAAGTAGGGGGCATTTGGCTTAGAAAGCAGGCTTAAGAAAATGCCACCTGACCTCAGAAACCTGTACGTTATGTCACCTGAGAGGCCACTGTCGACCATGGTTTGGGAAGGCCCAGAGTAGGAAAGCCCCGTGCACAGGTGGACCCAGTGGGTGCTTGCTTTCCTGTTACCACCCACAAGAGTACAAAAGCTCTTCCCAACCAAAGGCTCTGCTATTCCTGCTGGTGAGTCTCTGGGGCTAAAGCAGAACCCCTCTAGAAATCCCTGAGAGAGTAGAAGGAATTCCTAGGAAGTGGAGGCATCCTAGGGGACTTGCCAGGATTCACCCACCTCTAGGAGGCTTCGGGGCACGAGCTGGAGGAACGGGGGCCTGCACAGGGAGTGTGGGCGGAGTGGGTGACGGGTACTCACCTAGGACGTATGTGCCTCCTGCCACTGATGGAAAAGGTGGGCATTCAGGGTGAACGTATCATTGTTTTCCAACCCAGACAAGAAGCTGGGAAGTGAGAGCCTGGATGAGTGGTCCGCAGAGTGGCTTTCTTCCCAGGTGCAGCCTCTGACAACTTCCTAGCAAATTTTGAGGTGGGTTTATGTCCCACTCCCTCTGGACTCAGCCTTGGGATGCTAGAGGGGGAGGGGTGAAAGCAGAATGGAATGTCCCAGTCAGCAGGGTAGCACGAAAGGCTCTGTGAAGGCTTAAGGGAGAGAGGAGAGCACCTTTGAATACTAAAGCCCAAGGTCACCTATAACTAACTGTCCAAAGGGTCATTGATGAAACAGCTGGAGGCAGAGGGAGAGTGAATTCTTAGGACACCTCGTGCAAAGCTGCTGACTCCCAGCACACGGAAGGGTAGAGCAGGCCAGGTGGGATCCCAGGCTGGGCGACCTGGTGGGGATCAAGACAGAGCTCTGAGACCAACCTGACAGTTAGACTTGGCACTGGCTTCCGGAGGCCAGGTGTCTGCCTGAAAAAAGACAAAGGGAAAACTTTGAAAGTCGTAACCTCATTCGACGTTGTTCAAGAAAGGCCGTGCTTAGAGCCATCCGACAAGAACCAGTTGAGTAGATAATCGCAGCAGATGTAATTGCTGTGGATGCTTTTAGAGTCCCTTGGAGTAATCCTTCTTACTCTCTTAATTCCAGGCTTCCAGATATGGAGCCTCAGTGACGAAGAGACTTGTTCTTGTCCACAGCAAAGTTTAGTCGAAAAGCAGATTTAGAATGCAGAATTCTTAACACCTACACGAACATTCACGTTTCCCTGGGACCATGTTGTTTCTCTAGAGGGGAGGAGGATCGTGGCATCTGCATTAACACCCGGTCCTGTGGGCACTCAGAGAACTTAGCTGCTGCTTTTGTGGAATGGAATAAAGGTTCCCCAAAGTCTTTCCATAGATGGCACAGCAGAAGTTACTTCCTACTTGAGAATTTGGGGTTCTCAAATCAGATAATCAGACTGATTATCATGACAGCGACTCTAACAGAATGTGCCCAGTTATTGTGGGAGACAGAGACAGTCACACACCTGCCTATCTGCAGGGCAGAGTTTGGGCATTTTCAGCTGCTCTGTGTGTACTGAAGAGTTAAAAAAATGAAAAGACGGCCAAATAGTTATCACCAAAAGGAGGCCGTCAGTCATTGCTCGTGAACACAGTCTAAACACAGTTCAGGCATATTTAGTTCATGTGTTTTTCCCCAGCACACAGCACATCAGAAGCAGGTAGGAGAAGGGAAGTAGTAATGCACAGTGGAAGCCTGAGTACCAGGGGGAGCTCTCCCTTCCATGCAGGTATTCCCAGTGTGCTCCGTGTATCGGCAGCCTCAGCATCACCTGGACCTTATTAGGACTCCAAATTCTCAGGCCCTTCACCCCAGACCAACCTACCAAGCTAGAATGCCCAGGTAATTCCATTGCCCGCTCAAGCAGGTGAAACAGCCTCACAGCCTGCAGGTCACAGTGTGGCTGGGGGTGTCTTCTGATTCTACACACACACTGGGAGCGGAAGTGAGACGGTCGAGGCAGAATGCAAACGTTCAGGGGCTTTCGTGTCTCTGAGATCTAAAACCATGTAGCATTGTGCACTTCTTCACTCTGTTCGCTTTGAGTTCACAGAAATGCGTATTTCTAGGTGCACTGAGAGCACATCCTGAGTGTGTGTGTCGGTGAGTGTTGAATTTGTAGGTGCACTGAGTGTACATCCCGAGTGTGTGTGTCGGTGGGTGTTGAATTTGTAGGTGCACTAGTGTACATCCCGAGGTGTGGCACTGAGTGTACATCCCGAGTGTGTGTGTCGGTGGGTGTTGAATTTCTAGGTGCACTCAGCGGATATCCCGAGTGTGTGGGTCCGTGGGTGTTGAATTTCTGGTGCACTGAGTGCACATCCCGAGTGTGTGGGTCCGTGGGTGTTGAATTTCTAGGTGCACTGAGCGTACATCCCGAGTGTGTGGGTATGTGGGTGTTGAATTTCTGGTGCACTGAGCGCACATCCCGAGTGTGTGGGTCCGTGGGTGTTGAGATGGGTGTGTTTTCAGACCTGCCGTCTTCCCGTAACTGACTTTGTGAGATTGGGCAAATGACATAACCTCTCTGAACGTCACTTCCCACACATCAGTTAAAAACCAAGGCTGATTTCTCTGGCCCTTCTCCAGTTCTGAAGTACTCCAGCCTTGTGGTGTTGTCTTAGCTTAACGATATGAGAAGAAACTGGGGTGGGGGAAAGTGAGGCTGCCCATAGTTATGTAGCCCTAGACGATATATAAGCATGCATATATAATATGAATTAGAATGTCTATTGATATTCTATATACCATCATATAGTTTATACTATATATAATATACATATAGTATATATAATATACATGTGATATATAATATTGAACAATATTTCCCAACATTAAATTAGCCAGCAGATGGTTAGGTTTGCAATTAGGGAGATTTATTTCACCAACTGCAAGGGGCTTCAGGAAGGGTCACATTCAGTACTGTCACTTTGAAATCCTAATGACACCGCAACCTAAAGGTTAGACTGTGATACCAGGAAAAGTAAGCTGTTCTCTACACACATTGATTTCTTTTCCATCGTCATAAAACAGTAACAAACCAAGGAAAGAAAACCCCATATTTTTATATCCAGATTCATGCAGGAAGTATCCCATTGACTGGCCAACATCTTCTGAAATACAGATGTCCTTTTAAAATTGACTATATAAAATTCTTATATGCTTTTAGAAGAACCACAATTTTATACGTGTATATACAGATATATATATATCTTTTTGGTATTATGCTTTTGCATATATTTGGCTCAACGGTGCATCATGACAGTCTTCTGAGTATATACCTTCCTCATTTTTCTGCTGAGGATCTATCAAGAAAACTAGTAAACCCATATCAGAAACGTAGACTAATATGTTGTTGACTGCCAGAAAATTCTTTATTCTCTCTAACCACAAATTGCCAAGAAACGGTGACAATTTAACCTTATCTAGTTTCTTTAATGGAAGATCATATATTATATTTCTGTTACTTACAGCCACAGATCACAATCGTGTCTTTAAAAAGGCAGCTCAGTTATCAATGAGATATGCATACCTGCTCAGTTTAGTTTGTACAGCAGAAAAGTGAAGCTGGTCTCACTGTCTGTCACAAAATAAAACATTTAAGGCTGCCCTACTGAGCAGTCAACCCCAAAAACAACAGGAATGCCTTTAGAATGAAGTAAAATTTAGCAAATGGCATTGACTTATTTGTATTACATATACTTTTTCACCTTTTTTGGATTTTTATGACTCTGCATACATAGAAAAATTCCAACCAAGTACTTTTCTTTTTTTCAAAAATGAGAAAATGGTAATAGAAGAATTTAGGACGCTTTTCAACTCTGCTTAAGATTAAGATGTCCCAGTGTGAAATCCTGACGTGCCCACTACTTTAAGCACCGTCCTGTAAACATTCACAGTTGACTTCAAACATGCTGAAGAAGCCAAGCTGCCAGCATGCAGGTGTTCAGAGCTGCATCCCGGTTCTACCCAAGGGCTTGACCCAGGGTTGAAGTCCCTGCTGCCCTCTAAAGCCCAGTACTCAGTGAGAAAGAAGAAAAGTGAATTGGATAATAGACATTTTCCATACTCCTCTATTTCTAATTCAGGGGGCAAATGAGCCTTTTAATTGAACACAGATACAGGAAACTGAAGACATAAAGTATTCATTTTCCCCAGCTTGAAAGTTTATATCGGAAGTTCCTATATTTCACGCAAAATATTGCTATCTGGCACATGAGGTCTGATGGTTTCAGAAAGTAAGAATTAGATGTTCCTTTGATCTAGCTTGTAAGTGCATCCGAACCACACCTTGAATATGATAATGCTTCTCATTTCCCCTGTGCCTTGGTGTTACAGCTCTCCAGCACCATTGTGAGCCTGAGGGTCAAGACCCCCTACTAAGGCAATAACATTCCTACTTACTCCCAGAAACACACGTGGGGAGAGTAGAATGGGCTCTTCCCCAATCCTCCAGCATTAAACTCAGCCCTGAGACTCCCAGGGCTTAGAAAACAGCTTAGAGTGAAGAATTGTTTTCTCTGGGAGTTATGCCTGAACACTTCTGCTAAAGCAGACAGTCATCAGTTAATCTCTATAAATGACTACAATTTTGGCAGGTATCAGCTGGTATAGAAATTGCTCACAAGTTAAAGCTCTCATTTCTAAGTTTATGGTAATGAGGGGGACTAATTAAAACAAAAAACAAAGAAACAAACAAAAAAACCTCACGTTGTGCCTGACCACAGGACTGGCTTACCTGAAATGGTGATTCCTGCTGGGTGTCTCCGTGGCACAGGTCCCCACGCTTGCTGGCTAAGAGAGACACAACTGGCAAGAGCCTTTCTTCCCAGGCTGATTGTGGACTCTACCACATCAAGTGCTGTGTATTCAGAATGACCTCACTCACATCACTCCCCTGTCCTTGAAACAGTGTTCTTCAAAAATGCCACTAAGTGCCTGAGGAATGTGAAGTTTTGAAATGAACACAAAACCTGCCAGCAGCCTTTGCCGACTGGCATTATTTCTGAGGCAGACAGCTCTCCACAATCATTTGTCCTGCCTTCTTCTTTCCCCTAACTCGTAATGCCAGGCATTAGACTGTGGTAGGAGGTTAAAGGGCTGAGTTATTATGTTTTGAATGGTTGTTCCATTGGAATGGTTTGTTTTTCTGCAAGAAAACTGCAGATTCTTCAGTTTGATCATCAGGAAGCCAAGGATCTATGGCAGAGATAAGAGGAGGAAGGAGCTAAGGAAGGCTTCATCCAGAGGCACTGAGTCACACCATGACTGACCAACACAGGGCGTTCTAGAAAAAAGACATTTTCATACTTCTGAGGGAAAGGGATGATGGGAGTTGCTCCAAGACCTGGCCCCATGGCCTTTCATCCACAAAGCCGGCGCTTAAAATACTCAGCCGAGAACAGGCCTCCCACATGTGTGCTGACCTGCGTGACTCAGGCTGTTTGCGTTCAAGTCCCCTGTTGTGGGCTGGAGCGCTGAATCAGAGTCCACATTCGCCTTGGTGACACATGACAGGAGGGGGCGTTGCATGTGAACTACGCAAATATTATGCTTAAGTATTTTTCCTCATTTTGGAGCCAAACAGGTCTCGTTAATGATAAAATCACTGCAATATAGTGGGCCCTTTTCTTCTGGTCTGGAATTTGAGACAGTGTCAGCTGTGCCAAGGGGCCTGGCAGCAGGAAGAAATGGCCAGCCATGGAGATTTACAGCCATAATGCAAGTTATAACATTTAATTTTATAATCGTAGCCATCGGGAGCTGGACTACAGTGCACTTCTCGTGGTCTGCTCTTACCCCAGGCTGTGGGAGTGGAATCAAGGGAGCCTCTTTCTAGTCTAGGATTGGGTCAGGGCATGTGAAAGAGCACTTTATGGGGGCAGCGGGCAGGCTGTTTCTCAGTCTGGCTTTGGGGACACTTGACAATAGGGAACAGGGGTTGTGCAATTGATCGAGGACTCTTTATTGGAACCATAAGGCTGAGGAAGCAGCAGGCCATTGTTTTTAACAGAGAAATGAATGGCCCAGGCCTCCTGTGGCTGCCTCCCTACCTTGCAGCCTCAGCTCTGCTTGACAGGACTGGCTCTGGTTTAAGGACATTTTGAGAAAACCATAGGCCCCAGTCCCCTGTGAGTGGCCTCTACTTGCTGCTTCCTGGTGACAGTTGTTTTGGTGAAGAGCATCATGAGGATACTTGTTATCTGTATAGACACTGAGGGGCCCACCATCCCATCCCACCAGTCCTGAGCCCCCTGGGGAAGCTCACCAGATAGGCTGCAGCTACCTCTGGGCTCCAGTGGGCCTATTCTGCTGGGAATATTGGACAAGACACAGGCGAGGCCTTCCTGTCAACTCCTTCTTAAGGGTACACAGGGGAGTCGGCTTTGGGGAAGAAGGAATGCTTGTGAAAAGCCTGTAAGGAGAGGGAAAGGGTGAGGGGCTGCGGGGCTGAGGATGCCCTGCATGTACCTGGAAATCTGACCTTCCCGGGGCTGGGGGTTTGCAGCCACTCCTCGTTTCCTCTTGGAAGGAGCCCTGCTAATAAGCTGCAGGGCCCACTTGGCTGCCTCTAAAGCCAGTCGGTGGTTGGGTTTGCAGTAAAGAGCAGCTGTTCTGATGCCCCTGAGAGGCCACCTTTCCTGGCTGCCATAGCATAGCCCCTGGCATGTAGCCATGTGCCAACAATTAATGCAGCTCTTTTCCTCCCGGCATCACCACCACCACCAAGTTCCGTATCCCACTGAGTTGTGCCCATTGGAAGTGGGTGTAGAGGGTTGGGGAGGGTGCTGAGGCCCAGACTGGGGGAGCACTCTGTGGCCAGGGCAGTGAAAGGGGGCCCGTTCTGCTGAGAGGACAGTGGCCCCAAATTCCCACTGGCGGCTAGCCCAATGGGCAAATCTCTACCAAGTCTATGTTGGGGTGAGGGGAGAGAGGGGAAAGACAAGAAAAGCCCCAATTTTAGGAAATCCACAATACTTTTTCTGATCTCTTCCCTCCCTCCTTCCCTGCCTCCCTTCCCTCTTCCCATCCCCTCCCTTCCCTGCTCCCCACAATAGGACATCGGCAGAAACTAGATGATCAGACCAAGCCCGGGAGCTTGTCCTTTTCCGAGCGGCTCAGTGAACTGGAGCAGCTGCGGCGCACAGCCATGAGGGTCAGCCCACACCACCCAGCCCCCACGCCCAACCCTCGTGCCTCCCTGAACCACTCCACTGCCTTTAACCCTCAGCCTCAGAGTCAGATGCAGGGTAAGTACCAGACGGAGCCCACCACCCACAGCTGGGTCCCATGTGCAAACACCCACCCAGACCCACTGGGGTTTCCCCTTGATGCTCAGAGAAAGGCCTCGAACCAACAGCACCACCTGGGAGCTGTTGGAAATGAGTCTTGGGCCCCACCCCAGACCCACCGAGTCAGATCTGCCTTGCAACCAGATCCCCACAAGGAAAAGCACTGCTACAGGGGATACGAGGAGCTCTGGGTATGGATATCCATATTGGATAGATAGCTCTCTTGAATTTTTTAAGAGTTAGCTTTGGCTATGCTATTTTTTTACCTACCCATTAGACTTGAAGACACACACACAGACACACACACACACACACACACACACACGTCAAGCAAGGTGAAGATGGGGATGTTTCAAGTTCTCGCTATTGCCAGATTATTTGTGGGTTTTGTATCTAGTGTTTTTTTGTTATTATTAAGAAATAGTAGAAATATATGGATGCCATCACATCAAGGGTGTTATTTGCATATCAATATAGAATGCAGGTCCCCCTATCCCATGGGGCTAGCTGGCAATTACTAAAGCACTGTAAGATGCAATAATTGCCTAAGGCCCACTGTGCCCAATTAGATAATACAAGAAGTTCATTTACACTGTAGAACCAGTGACGTCAATGACTGTTTGCTCTGTGATACCGTTTCAGAAATCCAAAATGCAGACTTTCCTCTGTGCCATGCAGGATGCAGCTGTGTGTGATATGGTTTACAGTAATATTTCTTTCTCAAAGTAGCAGGCTTGTTAAGGAAAAGATAAGCAACACATCTGGGGGAAAGGGCAGGTGGCCAACAATCGAGGTGGGAGCTCCTTGCCCCTCTCGGACAGCAGGAATTAGCTTCCCCAGGCATTTTCTGTGAGTTGTATTGTGGGATGGACAAATATCATCTGTTCTTTTGGGTGTCCAGGCCAATAGCTCTCTATTTTGGGTTAAAACATGGGTTCTCAAAAGGCATGCCCACTGTCTCCCATAGACCTTGACAGCCCATGCCATTCGCTCTCACAGTTAGGTTTCTGGGGGAGGCTCTTTTACTTAATTGGAAAATTTCCAAATAAATCTTCCAAGAAGATAGTATGCACACAGCTAAGTGGCCTATCTGTGGAGTAACCCCTTTGTAAACAAACAGAAACCTAAAGCTTGATGTTTTGGGGGCTGCCTGTCATCTATAGGTTCATTTAGGTGTATTCAGGAAGAGGATCCATGAAACCGTTGGTTTCCTGTTACGTAATAATCATTAATAATGACTTAAAATGTGTGCATTGATTTTTTTAAAATTCCAAAATACAAGCAGATGTGGTAAATTAAGTCAAATGGTTTGTTAAGTGAGCGAGATGGACTTGGGGGCGAAACAATACTTCGCTTCCAAAGAGGATACAACTCTCAAGGAGATTCTTTCATCTTGCCTTTAAGGTCATTTAAGCTAATTATCATCATCTATTCATGTGTAAAATCGAAAGGAAGCCTGTTTTCTTAGTCTCTCATTGCCTAACTGGCCATTTATACTACTAGGTTGATGAAGGGATTTGCCTTTTTCTGCTGATATGGGAACAAAAAGTCTGAGCATTTTTAAAGGCAATGGAAAATTCAGCCCCATGGGGGAAAACTGAAATTGTCACCATTGAGTTGCTCTGTTTTTTGGTGAAGAGTGAATCTAATCTGATTTCCTTCTTCATCAGATATGCCTCTTTAACAACAACAAAAAAATTGGGGGCAAGTTGCGCATTGAATTCTCATCCCGAAGTTCCTGGGCAAAAGCATTATTGTGGACCCTGTGATGGGCGTTCGTCAGCTCTTTGGAGCCCTATATGCTTAGCAGAGTATCAGGTTTAACACTAAGCATTGCCCCTGTTTTGTTCCTCATGAAAACTTTTTACTTCTGCAACATTGAAGAAATCATAACTCCCTTTTAGAGTTCCCTAGGGGCTTGGTTGCTACTCTGAAGAATGTGTGAACTATATTGCTTGTGTTCTTTCCTTCCAAAATATGAATTTGATATTTAGTACTTCACTTGTAAAATTTTAGGAGCAACTTTTGAAAAATAAGTATCCAGAATATTTTCATGTGAAACAACTTCTTTTCCTTTTCCTTTTGTTGTTTCTTTCCTATAAGAAAACGCTGTTTTCCACTAATCATGTTTTGAGTAGACCCTTGGGCTCTTTCTCTTGAAACTGGAAAGTTAACAGGCATATTATGCAAGTGTTGTTCAGCCAAGACCTTCAGTTTGTTCTTGACATGTAGGAAAATGCTTATTTTCCAGGCTCAGCCCTGAAGTTTCTATGTTATATTTACAAAGATACTTTAAGAAATACAGCATGTGTTTATGGCTATCTTTGAAATGGCAGTGGTAGTATTCAGAAAAATATCCAATTTGTCAGAGCAGTTCTACAGCGGTGCTGTCCAGGAGCATGAATGTTTTTCAGCTTTACAGAAATGTCAGTAACTGGGGGTTTGGAGAGCTTGCTGGGATTTATAGAGAGGCTCAGGAACCCTACCTTGCTAGGACTTTATTAGAGGGGTTATGCCAGCTCCTCTAACTCTGTCAGCAAGAAAATGCTGATATAGAATAGCACCAATACTTACCTAGAATCACGTGTACTGGAGGGTCACTCAAAATAGACATCTCAAATTATCTGAAGCACGGTACAGATTGAGAGGGGGCAGGTTGCCATGCCACTAAACCACTGTTTATTTGTTGAGGTCTTAACTATTAAAGGGCTGAGGTTTATTTCAACTTCCTATTTTACCAGGTCTTAAACTTGACTAGAAAGCCATTTTGTCATGAGTAGACCCTTGGGCTACACGTTTCTCCCAGTCAAGACACCATCGTTAACTTCTATGACCCAAGTCTTAGAATTCTTTCTTAATTTATTTCAAAAGATAGAACAAGGCAGATTCTAGAGCTGGTGGTCCTGATGCCTGTTCAGTCACAACTCCCACCTAGAGAGGGGTTTGGGCAACCCGAGTGAGTGATTTTAAAATTTCACCCCTGATTGACCAAATATGATGTATCACATTTAAGGTGTCGTAATTTCCTCCTTTCTGGGAATATGAGGATGGAGTAATAGATGCTGGTACAGAAAACTGAAACCTAGATAAACTAGGAAGCCCATTTTGTTGTTCTTCTGCATGCTGGTTGTCATAAACATGTAGGAGGAAGGTTTAACTCTATTTTTTTTTTTTTTTTTGAGACGGAGTCTTGCTCTGTCACCCAGGCTGGAGCAGTGGCGCGATCTCCACTCACTCAGGCTCCACCTCCCAGGTTCACACCATTCTCCTGCCTCGGCCTCCCATGTAGCTGGGACTACAGGCGCCCGCCACTGCACCCGGCTAATTTTTGTATCTTCAGTAGAGACGGGGTTTCACTGTGTTAGCCAGGATGGTCTCAATCTCCTGACCTCATGATTCGCTCATCTCAGCCTCCCAAAGTGAGGCATGAGCCACCGCGCCCGGCCAAGGTTTAACTCTTTAACTGGGCCAGTTGTGAGCTATTTTGACATGGGTCAGACATTTGTATATATCATTCC